TCGGTGCAAGCAGCTTAATCGATGACCTGTTCGACTATCAAGACCAGATTACTATAACGTGGGATCGTTTCGTCAGTGCATACCAAACTTATGGTCACTCTACTAGACTTATACTTCTTCAAATTTCCATGCAGCGAATGGGCCACAGACATCCAACCTTTCGCAAACTAACTAAAACTTGTAAATTAAAAATTTTAAGAAATATAATTTTCTAAAAATGATCAAATCATCTGAAAACAGTAGGTAAACAATGCGATTTCTTGCTCTGATTATCAAGGGAAACCAATGAAAGTTTAAAGCCGTTTGGACGTCAACTGTTAGATACTTTTAAAAGAATCGCATTTATAGCAACCTTTTCCATGGAATTAGCGGCGCTAATCCCCTTTAAACTGGCAACAGCCAGGAACGCCGACTACACTCTCCTGCTTCCTTCCGGTAACGTGGTACTCGTTATTCAATTTCGGAATGATGAAGTTTAATGTGATGGAGATTCGAACCCATGATGCTTACCACCGACTGAGCTCTCTTAATGATGTGATTACCAGGCTGATTTAAGACAAAAGGTTAGTGAAAGATTACCTGGCGAAGGTTTAATCGCTGAAGCAGCTCCAGTAAGAACTAGAAGTCCATCCTTGCTGAGAAACAAGGCTGCTAATCGGCATGAAATGAACGACGTCCATAAACTCTGCTTCATCGACTGGTCACATGCTTCAATAAAACCTGAAAGAGTCTGGTAAAAGTCTAGAAAGTGATGCAACAGAATGAGTAACGTTTCGATCGTGCACTGCCCCCTTGCCAGCCACCGGCGAAACACAATATGGCGTCCGCTGTTTTATTCGACAGTGCTGCTTGGACTGCAGACACAATCTAAACAGCTTCATTGACATCTGAACTATTAATATATTCTACGAAATTGCAACAATAAAACATTCTTTGAGTCTGAAATGCCAGATTTACGGTATTTTAATATTGGTGAATTTAGGAAAATAGCAAGTCATAAACTAAATTATTTTAGTTTACCAAATCAGTTTAGTTTTAAACCTTAGTTTTTGATAAAGTTTAGTCATAAATTTAAAATAACAAATCATTTAAGAAATTAGAAGTGATAAAAAATATCACTAATACAAAATCTTGAATTCATCAAGATTCTTCAAGAAAAGAACACGCAGTAGCAACAAATAATGCAAGTCATAATCATCAGCTGTCATCCCTGTTCAGAAGTTGCATCGAATAGACGATAGTCACTGGTGCTACTTTTTTTCAGGACTTCTGGTCTTACAACCATTCGGCGATTTTATCTCCGTAAACATTTTCTTGTCAAAGACAAGTCGTTCATCTTTTAACATCAAAGATACACTCAGTGAACTTTACAATCGACTTTTTACTTACCAATCGATTTTAGAAGTACTTAATATGGCAGAATCAAAAAAGTTAAACGCAGAGACAGATGCAGAAATCTCGAATTGGCTATTGAATATCATTTCAACAAAAAGTAGAAACGCGTCAAAGCCGCAATGCCAATAGCATCATTAAGAGACATACATCATGCCCTTCTATATAAAGCCAGAATTCAGGAAACTGTAGTGAATATCATCTTTAAACATTAACAATATTTAAAATGAAAAATTAAAGTTTTATAGACAAATTATAATGATAAAAGAGTATTCATAAGCACCGAAGACAACCGAAGGTTTAAATCAGCATTTTAAGGTAAGATTCTGGTCAAAACACTAAATTTCCGCAAAAAAGAGACAAAACGAGCGTTTCTAGACCTTAACAATGCCAACTGTTTCTCTGCAAAAATGCAAACTCGTCTCAAAGAATAAAAGGCAGGATTAGCAAATGTTACTGATGGGATTTATATCATTTTTACATCGTTGGCTTGCTGAACGAAGTCTTTTTCCTTGTCAACGGTAATGCTTGCATTAGCAAATTCGTTTTGTTTCGTGTCAATGCTGATCGTGAACTAAAAGTAAACAAGAAACAGAACTATCATTCTAAACAAAATAAAACTGAATTTCTTGTCTTACCCATTGCTCGCTAAGGAATTTTTGCACAACAGCGGTTCCCAATGCTCCTGCGCCCCCGTACACAATCGCGCAACGCTGTGCCATCTGGGAAATAGGGCAGTTTCAGTTACTAAATTATATATATGAAATCTCTGATGAATTTCTTGCAACGAAGAAAAACAGATTCTAGTGACAATTGCGCAGATGTCAACACAGGATTATTTCTCAAAACGTTTCCGTCTCAGACCACAGATCTAACACAAGAAAGTAGAAAAGAAAATTATACCAACCGAAAACACTAAAAAGAGTTTCTGTCCGCTACTTGAGAAGAAACATATAATCCTATTTACACGTGCAATACGATGGCCTGCATAGCATTATATCTACATTGTATTATGTATATGCCATCCGACTATTAAATTAACTTTTTATAATTCAAGGCTTTCGATACCTTGAAATTCAATTCATATTGAAGCAAGCCATTACCGTCAACTGAGCAGCTGTGGAAGTATAGAAATGCTATATTGCAAAACGAATGATGAAAAAAAACTCCATTGTCCGAAGAAAATTCAATAAAGACAAAACGAACAAAATCATTATAATAAAACTGATAGATTAATGAGATTTATAATACAAAAATTATTACTAGGCGTTTTCACAACGGATAACTGACCCTTAATCGAACATAAAACAATACATATTAACACTAAGTTGGTACAATTCATTAAGCATATTACAGTACCACAGTAACCTGAGTGACTCGCATGATAGCAACAACCGATTACGGAATGAACGCGGGTGAATGAAAGAAAAGAGTTGGGGAATTTTCTGTTTTTTAATTTGTAAAGTAAAAGTTTCGGATCGGTTGTGCTCTAATCTATTCATATTAATGTTATTCTTTCAAAAAATTTAAAACTTTTGTTTAATTGTACTTAGATATATTGAGAGGCAGTACATCTCGCTTTTTGACACTGGGTCGTATACTTTCGTAAAAGTTGACTCTCGTTATTTGCATTTATTTTCAGCACCTTTCTTACAAATGAAGGTTGTTATTGCTCTGATAACCGTGTGTTTTTTGTGCCATTTAGTAGGGTTAGCGTTTAAACGGTATCGTAATGGGAAGGTTGGATGTAAGCGAGCCACATATCGAATAACAGCGCTCTGACTCCGTTGGTAAAACGGAAGTTTCGAATTTAACAAAAGCCAGAGCATATGCAGAACCTGGTAAAACTTGTACCTTGTAAATGTAATTTTGATGATAGCGGCAACTTGAGATATTGCATGCGGCTGTTCTTCTGTTAAGTATCCAGTGTTACGTTACGCTTATGGATCATTCCATAAACAGCAGGTTTAGGCGCGCAGTTTGGTAGTTCGTCAATTAGTTCGAGTAAACTGGAATTGAGTTTTGCTCGTATCTTCGTTTTACTTTATTCATTACTTAGTTGGGATGTAAGTTTTTTATTTATACTGAAAAGCAAGACCCTTTTCCGTTCCAAGTTACTAATCTTTCTTTTTTCTTTACATGTTAATTGTCTCCTTTATTCTGACCTTATATTGACTCGCAAAGTATCTTTCGAATCTGCTGTTGTGGTATTTTATTATTTATCGTTCTTGTTAATATAACTGTACCATTCCAGTTAAAGTCCACGGAGTAGGTCCATGGAGCAAACCCCGTTATATTTAACAGTACGGCAGCTATTAACCTAAGGTGAGATTTTTGCGACAGTGAAACGATTAAAAAGTAAAGGCAATAGTAAAATGATGTCGATCTTCATGCTGCTATGGACATTAATGTTTTACAACTCATTCAGTCGGGTTTTCCCGTAATATTTTTATTAGTGCTACCACGCGAGTGTTGCTACACCATGTGAAGAACATGATTTGAATGTTAACTGACGGATTCATACACGCATCGGTTTTGATTTGTGCTAGTACATAATCCTCTTCGCTGCTGCTATGCGGCATTGCATAGTCGCTTTTTCAGCACTGATTTAAATCACTAACTTTACCACATTATTTTCAGGCATGAGTCAGAAAAGAAAAGCAAATAATCCTGGCCAGTATTCCCAACAATTCAAGAAAAACAAGTGCGTATGCTTAAAATACTGCTTTTTTCTTGTTTAATAACGTGATTTATACTATTTCAATGCACGTAAGTACATTAATATATGTGTTACTGTCCCCATTGTTAAGTAGTAGTCCAGAGTATTATTGTCCGTAGTGACATCCATCCATATAAGCATCCACTGACCCGTACTGGCATGACCTGAAACTGATTTTACTGTATTATTGCGAAGTCTACCCTTAAGACTAAGCCTTGACACTGTCTATCTACGGCATGTTTTGGTTTGCGCTCAGATTTAGGGTAGAAATATGGTAAAAATGACATATTGATGGTTTAGATTGAGTAGCAAATTAGATTCAGACCTTTGCAGTATGAAAAAACTGTGAACACCGAAATGAACGAGTTGCCACTCTGCACGGTGCAGTAAGATAAAATTGTACCCCGTGTAGCTCTTCCCCGTACAACGCTGATTTGATATAGCACTCTTTATTCTGGGATCAGTTTCTACTTTTTCCATAGTTTTTTTTTCGGGTTGGGTCTCTAATTCAAGAAAACATCTCTGGCTTATTACCAAATATATTTAACTTTTATTATCAGATGTATGACGTGATGCTACTGCATATTTACTCTCAAGGCACGCCGAGGGTAGAGGCCATCTCCGATCATATCCTATATCACTTTTACGCGAAGAGTGACGAGAAAAACCATATAGTGTCCTTATCTTTCTCTGGTAATGACTTACTCTGAGTTGTGCAACGTTCTGCTCTTTTATCTCTCCAACGCTCATGTTTTCATCTAACTTAAAACTAAATTTATTGCTCTTATTACATGCTATGATTTAAAAAAAATAACAAAACAAAATACGAGGCGCGTGATTTGATTTCAATGCATATTTTCGATATACGGAAAAATAATTAGACAGCAGCAAAAATCTTCAAATTCCAAAGAACGGTAGCATATGACCTTAACATTGTGTTCTCAAAGTAACGAGCAACGTATGCTTTCGTTTTCACATCTCACTGAGTGGGAAATTTTTTCGTCGTGTTAGGCTCTGGTCACAAGAGGACGATATGAAAAATTTGGTGCAGAATGAGAAAGCGACAAAACAGCTGCTGCAGTTATTATATTGTACGATTTTTGGTATTTAGCAAGCTTTTCCTATTGTGTGCCTTTAAGGATTAATTCTGGAGTATATTGTTTGAATATGGGGAAGAAGGCATACTAATAAAAATGATCATTTTAGAAACACTTTTTCAGAAATTTTATACAAAGCTAACTGAGCATCGGCATTGATTCAGTTCACGCTCCCGCTTTCAAGGACGTGTCCCCCCGATAAACAGGACATGTCTGTACTATACATTCTATTTCATTGATCATGTCTGTAGTAACTGAAATGGTAATACTAGACGTATAATACTAGCACACTAACTACAGTATAATATGTTTCGTTATTACACAACGTATTCTATATTGTATAAAAGAGGGTGGTGTCGTCAATATTCCCCGTCGTGGAAACGTAAGGTTATTAACGTACGAGCGATTACAGGCCTACTCTCATTTTGTGGACAGTAGACCAAACCAAAGGATGTGACCGCCTAATTGTTCTAAGCTAAATTATCACCGCAGTCATCGTCCGTTTTATTATGGTCAGTACTGCACATATTACAACTTGTCCGAGATGACAATCTTCAACTTAAAGTGACGGAGTGGACTAACCCCTAAATTCTGTTTCTCTCTAATACAATTACTTGCCAGTTAGCAATTTTCTCTCTTGTGCTTTCCTACTGTTAAATTTGTAAGAAAATATATGGTAAAAGACAAACAAAGCAACCATGAAGTATTTGGTACTTGAAGTTGCTACTTTAAGACTCGAATTATGTCTTGTCATTGCTGCAAAACAGCTTTGAAGTTTTGTAGTGAATATCCATTTTTTAGTGATGCTATTGTTGTCGAAATGTTCCGTGTCTGCAAATTGTTTTATGTTTTAGAGGTGTCGATGATGAAGAAGAAAACAACGATTTTGAGTCAAAACTGGCCGCGATGGAAGACATGGATATGGAGGACAACGGTCATCTGGAGAGCGAGGACATATTAGGTACATAATGAATGACTCTGGTTTCTCGATCCATTGTTCAAAGCAACAATTTAACGTACATTACGTGATTTTCTTTACTCACTGTCTCGACGTCGCCAACATTTTTATCAAGGTTAATATTGACGACGCCAGCATATTACATAAATAAAACGGCACAAAATTCAAGTGGTTAAAAGTCGACCCAGGACATTTCAGCTGTAACTCAAACTATGAGCTCGTGCATTCGTACGCAGTCGACTTTTATTGCATATCAACGTATGAAACGATTTTTTGATTCATAGCCTGATGTATTTTTCTCCTTA